ACTTTTTTAGTATAAGATAGTCACATTCCTACCAAATCAAAATAAAGAACGGGCGTTTGACAAAAATGTATATTTCGTTAGTATGAGTATTGGATTAGATTTATGATATCAAGGTTTAAATACAATATGAGGCATACTGAAAAAACCAAACAATGTGAACATGCTAATACTATAATATATGAATTTATTTATTTAAAATTATATTTAATATCAATAGTTCTTTTTTTTAATTGATGTGCGTTGTATTGTTTTGCACAGTCTCATCGCCACTATCAGTATTATTATCGTTGGATGTACTGTTGTTTGTGAGAAAGTAATTCAATATTATATACTTTATCAAGTTTACGTTTCACTGATTTGTTTGAAGTTATTAGTTTTCTAGATATCATATCTGTTGTAATATCATCGTTGAGTTTGAGCGGAGTATTTATTGTAAATTTTTTTAGTGGTGGAATCTTCTTTTTATGTCAATTAGTGAACCTGAAAATTTCATTTGGTTAAAAAGATAATTCTCTAATTTTTTTAAAAAGATGATTATCTAAATCGCAGAATTCAATGTAACCGTTAAGATTCCTTTGTTATTGGCTTTCACATGAGCGAATAGTCCCATTAGCATTTACAGAATTTAGCTAATTTTATTTATCACCTTCTATATCGCTGGAATTCTCAATGCAGAGACCATTTGATATTTCGAGAAATACCAATTCGTACTTCAACCTTTCCATAATTGAGTTTTCTAAGCACCAGAAATTATCTGCATCCCGGTCAAACCATTTATACTCCGAGTAGCAGAGCTTCTCATGCTGTTCCGATAATTTCAATTTTGATCTAAGTATGATGCATTTAAGACTTAATGTCATAAACTAAATTTACCAAGCTGTCAATGGAATGTGAACTATGATGTTGTATGAATATGTACTTTCTGTAATCGAATTATTATTATAAAATTTATTTGACTAAATTTTTTTCCTAAATAAATTTATAAAATTTCGATTCGGTTTCGGTTTCTAAAAGGTCAAATCGAAAAATTTCATTTCGGTTTTGGTTTACTTTTTGAACCGAACCGTAACCTTATTGAAATTTCGGAGCTTTAGGCTAGAAACTACTCGCAGTTTCTGGTATTCTAATTTTTGTACTATGCTTATTTAGAACTCAATTTATTAATTTCTAATCCGATAAATTTATTATTATTATAGCAACCAGTGTCCCGGTTGAACGAGTTTTTTCTGGAGACACAGACTTAATTAATCAAAGGCGTTGTAGTTTAAAACCTGAAACAATAAGAGTTTAAAAGGTTAGCGGTGACGATGTATTTTATACATGAATTGAAAAAAAATAGATCGTCGTTAGGGTTCTATTTGAATAAGGTTTACTCAAATTATTTGTTTTATTCGTTATGAATTTGAGTATTTGAATTACATTTAAAGTTTAGTTAAATAAAACATGTTAATCCCAGTCATTTTAGTCATTTTTAAAAAATCTTTTACAGATCATCAAATTCGCCATAGCGGATTTCTCGTCACAGCGGATTTTTTTGGCCGAGGTTAGACTGTATATCAACCCTTGTTAAAAGTAAAATTTAATTTCATTGGGCTCAATCATTCATCATTTACATTATGAAAGCAGATTAGAGAAAAAACCCTATACAAAATCAAAAGGTATTATATTAAATAAATATTTTTCTTATTTCCCTATGAAAATTTGCATTGTTGAACAAATATTAATTGAAATATACAAAACAATAAAACGCCATATTAATATAATGATGCCTGGGGAATGAAGGTGAAGCAGTTAAAAAAATGAATAAGTCACAGTTCACACTCTATATATAATTGATATAATAATAACGGAAAGCCCAATTTACATGTCTATATATATAAATTATTATTGTCTATAACAGTCCACTCTCTATAATGTACTGAAAATTTAAGCCCAATTTATATGTATATATATATATATATATTATTGTCCATAACGGACATTTTTCTTGAACCAAATGGTCCATTATAGAGAAGAAAATTATTATAATAAATATTTTTTAGATGTTAAATTAAATTTTTTAATTTTTAAAATGAATTACTTTGAACTGGGTTGGGCTCTTCGTGAAAAACAAAAATTTTTAGAAAGCATGGTGGAAGTAACCGCATGTCTGAGCAAGTAAAACAACTTCCAAGAGTCTATTTTTTGTCAGGAAATGTAGTAAGAAATGCTCAGATCTAAAACAAAGAGTAGAAGCAGGTGAGTCGGATGCAAATGAGTAACACGTTTTAGTAGAAAACATAAAAAAGAATCAGCTGAGAAAGATTTTGACGAACCATTATTTTGTATTATGTTGATTTTCATATGCATAATCCCCAATCAAGATTGAAATAGTGCAAAAACGGCTTGAACAAAAAAAATTTTTTTTTTGATAAACAGAAAATGCAAGTGAAAACATCATGTTACAATAAGAACGTAAAGCGGAACTGGATGATTTTTACCATTACTATTATATATAAAACGAATAAAACGAATTAACATTAATATTAATATTAATATTAAGTTGTACGAATAAAAATTACGAATAGAACTCTAGACTAATACTAAATAATCAATTAAAATATAGTCACTATTTATTCAAAAAAAATTTATATTATACTGGTAGTTAGTATTAGTTAACTAAAATAGTTGATTCTCAACCTCTAGGTTAAACTATGGCGAAACTATATTAAAATCTTACTAACAGCTATACCAAAAGTCAGCTACAGTTTCGGCGTTTCGGTATTCAGAACGATTTGCTAAAACTATTTCGGCAGTTTCGCATACGCCATTCTGCCGAAACCCCTTAGTTAGTTTCGGCAAGCAACCTTAGTAGTAATAAATTATTTTATCACTGTGTTTAAAATGTAAATATGACTGACTTTTTTTCTATTATTAATAATATTCACAAATACATCAGGAAATTAATTTAGCGTAAACTTGCATAAATCTTACGATGCCGACGTAATATTGTGTAAATCTTACAGTGCCGACGTAAGTTTTACACTTTTTTATTATTAAACTTACAATTGACACGTGTAAAATTTTTTTATATTTTCCGGATGTAGCTTGTAATTAATAATACTGAAATAATTACAATAATAAATTAACATCTGTAATTGCAAATATTATTGCTAGTTATAGTGACTATTTTGACAACCGTAACGATAATCGATATATCAGCTGATTTGACCTTTTTTCGAATTTTATATCTTATTGTGTCTCGACGTTAAACACGAGTATTTTTAATGTGTAAAAAAATTTATTTTGCACCGCAAAAAAACTAATTTTACTATTCAAACCAATGGCCCCACCTCAAAACCAAGGGGTTTTTGCTAGTACTGTATAAATAAAGTATTCATAATTTTATGATAATACCGTACTGAATTTTGGGGTTCAAACAAAATCAGCGCATATGAATTTTAACAATGATAATAATGACAAAACATTTGATATCTTTGCATAAAAATTGATTCAGATGCCACTACAACCAATTATCCAAGTAGAAAAATAGTAAAGAACAAAACATTGTTATGAATAATTAAATAAGCAAGTTCCTGAGACTAATCATACATGTATTAATGAAATCATTTCATAGTAAATTGAGGACCTGGATCCCAATTGTTGTCAACCAATTCATTTTATATATGACTAAGCATGTTAGCCAAAATTGCCTCTCTTAATATTAATAAATGATCCTGAAATGCTGAATAATTTTATTAGTTGCCGAAATTATATCTGAAATTATTTGAATGCTTTAACTCAATGGCCAAAATTCTGGGTAGCTTTTTCATGTCTATTGTTATAATTATTGTAAATCTGAAATTGCTTGCTGAAATTGATTTTTTCAAAACCATCCTTAATCATGACATTCATTTTGACATTTAATATTAGTAATATTAATATTGGTCATTCTTTATTAATCATATTTATTATATTTTATTGGACAAAATCATGTAAAAAGTCATGTTATTTGTAATACTTCAAGAAGAAGTACACTTGAAATTTCCTTTAATCTTTAATCTTTTAATAATATATATTTGATAATAAAACTCTGACTGTAATTAATTGATAAAGCTGGTGTGATTGATTCATAATAAAATGAATAATTCAAAATAAAACGAGTAGTTCAAAATAAAACGAGTAATTCAAAATAAAACGAATAATTCGAATAAAACGAATAATTTGAATAAGAATTTGTATCACGAATTTATGGATAGAAACTCTAGCAGAAACGAGGTGAACTTTGAATTTTATTTATGATTGTTGTGAGATATGATCATTACTAAAATACTTTCTTTCAAAAAATTACGAAATTTATAAAGTGTTGCAATACTGAAACATGTCATCATTCTAGTTATTATTAAAAGAATGATGGTAATGGTTGTGATCATTGTAACTCACTGCCATTCTAATTTTAATTAATGATTGTATATTTATTGGAGTGGATAATGGAGAAGCTATCAATAATTATAATTTGAGAACTAAAAAGGTATTGATTCAATTATAAATACGTGTTTGCAACCTTGAGATATCTATCTTGCAGTAATGATATTAATTATTTTCGGGCTTTTTTTTTAATAGATTAAAGCAGATCCTACACCCAATATTAAAAAAAATAGGGTAATTAATTTACATTAGTTTAAAATTCTTTGTATTTGTGTGTGTTCTTTAGAACATCATCATCACCGTTGAAATCTACGTGAATTTGCAATTCACACATGTGAAATTCAAATTAGCCAATCAAAACTTCATATCCAAACACCCCACCCCAAAATTTTAATTATAAATTTCGATTTTCACATTGTTTCAATTTCACATACAACATATATAAATTTTTTTTATTAGGTTATGATTTGAATCACAAAAAGTGCTTTTTATGGTAGTGTCTTTATCTGGGGTAAATCACAGATTTAATCCTTTTAAATCAGTCAGCTCACACTAAATTTGGAATTTTTATGTTCAGAAGCATATCTCAAGTTATGTTTTCTAATGGAGTCGAAGCTGATGGGTTAACAGATGAACAATTTAAAGGTAGGTCGGCTCAAAGATTATATTAATGATTGATTGCAAAAATCTATAATTTTTAACTAAAAATTTTATTCAAAATAGGCTTCCTGAGGCAAATATCATAAATATTAGTGAAGAAAAATGTCATATTATAGATCAAGAATTGTTTAATAAGTTGAAAAAACGAATTCCTTTCAAACAATTAATATAAACAGAATAAAAGATTGAATTAAATGTAACCTTGGAGTAAGCAAAACTTATTATTATTATTTTTTTAATTAGTTCATATGACTTTACCGTCTTCCTTCTTTTTTAGAGAAAAATAAATGACACCTTAATAAAATAAAATAAACAAATTTATTCAATGGGTTTGATATTGAAAGCTCTGGGTTAATAAAAGAAATAATCAAGATCAAATTGATGCAATTACAAGCAGGTTTTGGTGTTCAGTTAGATAAAGATATGGATGAAATACCTACACCTCTACTGTGAAAATTATATTTCCCTGGTGTATTTATATCAAGTTGATAAGTCAAATGGAAATAACAAATGGAAATTATGTAAAATTTATTAATCTAATTATTCTTATTTGAATAGGAATGAAAATGATATAGTGTCATTAAAATGGAAATGGGATATTATATGATTATAAAAAAACCGATAATATAATTTTTTTGTTTGAAAACATTGGACTACCTGATAAAACACAAAAACCAAAGTATCTATCAGACCTTTTAAAATGTTTTAGGAATTCAGTAGACTCTTTGTGTCACACATTTTGGAGAAGCAAAGGAAATGTAGAAATAACATCTAAATATTGTGCATTGTCATATATAGTTTACACTAAGTTTTTTTTATTTTATTGCAATTATGTTTCCGTTATTTTGGATTGCTGATTTATGAATTTATTCAAAATGCACATAGAAAAAGAAGGAAAACTATTCAGAGTCAGTTTGGGTGCTCCAGATACATTTGTGGCTGAAAAAATAAATTATCCATTTTGAATTTGTAAAATTTTCATTGGTAATTTTTTTTACTTGGGCAAGTTTGTTGAATATCTATTTAAATTTCTTTATTTTGCAGACTATCCTTGAATCATATAAAAAAGTCATGTATTAAATTTTAAAATTTATATATTATTCTATATATTATATATATGATAAATTTGTTAATGTTATAAAAAATGAAAATATTGATTTGAAAAGGTAAGGAATAAATAATACTGCAATTATGATTATTAAAATTACATTTATTTTTTTGTCAAAAATCATTATTTTAATGTGTGCTTATTTGACATCCAAATTTCAAATGAAAAAAAAATTCCAAAGATAATTGTGAAAAGTTACATCATTACTTGAAATATTTAAAAATAAATAATAAATAATTTAATATAATAACAAGATTTGGATTATTGGGGTAATTCATCTGGTATGATTAATTCCATCTGTCTAGAATCTTCAAAAATAACTAAATTAAATTGTTTAGAATCTACAAAATATTTATCACAAAGAGTGGAAATTAATAAATATTGTTAATTTTAAAAATTAAAAATAAAAATAACCAATGATTGAATATTAATAATTACCATTATTATTACCAATAATTGTTACTTTATTGGAATTCACAGGTTGGGGAAGGTTTGTAAATTTTAATAATCTGCTAGTATAAACTGCATTTGGATGAATTACTGGAGTAATTGTTGAAGGATCAAATTTGATTTCATCCATTTTCTCAAACTCTTTTATAATTGATTCATCTGATTTAGCATAACTCCAAAACCTAAAAATCTCATAAATTTCTTTGGCAGTTGGACGTTTATTTGGATTAGCATCCATGCATCTGAATGCTAGTTCAATGTATGACTTTGGAGTGTTGTTTGAAAATCCAGGTCTTGCACCTTCACATATTTTTATTGCAAGATCTATATCATGTGCCAAGTTATTAAATGGTTGTTGACCAGTTGATACTACAGACATCAGAATTCCAAAACTATATACATCTGATGCTTTTGTATATGGTTTCATTCTTAAAACTTCTGGTGCAATATATGGTAGTACTCCACATATATCATTTTTGTTTGATGCAGATACTTGACTAGCTAGGCATGATAATCCCAAATCAGTAATATATGCTGATGTTCTTTCTTGAAGAATATTACCACTGTGAAGATCGCGATGAATAATTTCTTTTTCATGAATACCTTTTAAAGCTTCAATAATTAGTTGAAGAATACGAATTTTGTGCTTCCATTTTAAATTTTTAAAATTTTTAGTTAAATAATTTTGAAGGCTTCCATCTTCCATATAACTCATCACAAACATATATTCTTTTGTAATTGGATCTTGTGTTAATCCATAAACACAAATTATATCAAATTCACCCTTAAGCTTCACATAATTTTTGAACTAAAATAACAAACAAAATATTTTAATTACAACAATAATAATCAATAATATTTAAAAATCTGAAAATAAATAGAAAAATAAAATAATTTACTTCATTAAGAAATTCATCAGAAATATTTTGTGAATTATGTAATTTTTTTAATGCCACAGTCATGTCCATGCTCATTCTTTCACTACCAGCTGCATACACATCACCATTTAACCAAGTAGCTTTGTATATAGTTGCAAACCCACCTTCACCCACCTTTTCAATATTTTTTAAATCATTATAAGGAATCCATTGATGGTGATAACAATTATTATAATGACTGCTTGTTTTAAGTTGTGTACTCTTAATCAATTCATCTAATGCTTCATTGCCACTAGTCCATCCTTCAGTTAATAGCTTTGGATCACATGATTGACACCATGAATAATAAGTATTATATCTATAACAAGTTGAACATTCCCCATATTCTTCTTTTCTAATATATGGATCTTTGTAATCTTGAAGACTTCCATCTTCCATGTATTCCATTACAAAGATATATTCTTTTGTAGCTGAATCTTGTGTTAATCCATAAAGTTTGTTTATAAATGATTTACCATAAAATGTAACATAATTTCTAAACTATATAAAAAATATATTTGAATTTCAGAACAACATTTAAAAACCTGAAATAAATAGAAAAATAAAATAATTTACCTTATTAAGAAATTCATCAGAAATATTCTGTGAATTATGTAGTTTTTTTAATGCCACAGTCCTGTCTTTATTAGTTCTTTTATTTCCATAAGCATTTTTCTCACCATTTAACCAAGTAGCTTTGGATATAGTTGCAAATCCACCCTCACCTATCTTTTCAATATTTGTTAAATCATTATAAGGAATCCATTGAAGATAATTATCATTATCATACTCAGTTGCTTTAAGTTGTATGCTTTTAATCAACTCATCTAATGTTTCATTGCCACTAGTCCATCCTTCAGTTAACAACATTGGATCACATGATTGACACCATGTCCAATAGGTATTATATCTATTGCAGGTTGGACATTCCCCATAATTTCTATATCTTTTCTTTGAATATTCATCATTTTGAGGACTTCCATCTTCCATGTAGTGCATTACAGAGATATATTTTTTTGTAATTGGATCTTGCGTTAACCCATAAATATAAATTTTATCATGAAACTTTGTATAATTTTTGAGCTGAAATAACAAAAAAAAAAGTATTTAATAATATTTAAAAAATCTGAAAATAAATAAAAAAATAAAATAATTTACCTCATTAAGAAATTCATCAGAAATATTCTGTGAATTATGTAGTTTTTTTAATGCCACAGTCCTATCTTTGGTAGTTTTTTTATTATCATAATTTAGAGTTTTACTACCATTTAACCAAGTAGCTTTGGATATAGTTGCAAATCCACTTTCACCTATCTTTTCAATATTTGTTAAATCATTATAAGGAATCCATTGAAGATAATAATCATTATCATATCTTATTGCTTTAAGTTGTATACTTTTGATCGATTCATCTAATATTTTATTGCCACTAGTCCATCCTTCAGTTAATAATTTTGGATCACATGATTGACACCATAAATAATGAGTATTACATCTATTACAGGTTGGACATTCCCCATAATATTCCTTTCTTTCACAAGAATATCCATCATTTATGTCGGTAGAAGTATCATCATGATGTTTATTTTCATCCAAAGTGTTTTCCATTGTGGTTTTTTGTTATTATATTTATCTAAAAAAATTTCTTCTAAAGAACTTTTTTTTTCAGCCACAAATATGTTAGATTTTCTGCTAAAAAATCAAATTTACAATTACGCAAATAAATTCGGCATGCACCCTAAAGCCGTTAAAGCCATAAACCGTGAAACTGTATTAAATATTGCAAGCGTGTGATCTGAGTTATTGAAGTCACAAAATCTGGAAAACTAAATTAAAATCACTATACCGCTTGATTAGTATTAGGGTTTCTATTCGAATAAGGTTCATTCGAATCATTTGATTTACTTGCTATGATCAAATTACATTGAAGGTTTATTTGAATAAAATGAATAATGAATAATTTGATAATTTGATAATTCAAATAAATCAAATGAACGAATAATAATTCAATAAACAAATAAAATAAATAATTCAATCGATAATTTAAATAAAACAAATAAACTCGAATACATAGTTTGGGCAATTAGGGAAAATTTTCCAAAAATCTGTTAAACTGAGATATCTGCTATATCGAGAAGGTTTTTATTAAGATTTATTATGGAACTGTTATCCGTAAAACCAAGATTTTTAATTAGTATCTGCTAAATGTGTAGTAATAATTCAAATAATTCGAATAGTTCGAATAAACAAATATAACGAATAAACGAATAATTCGAATATTTCAAACAAAACGAATAAACAATAGTTCGAATAAAACGAATAATTCAAACAAAACAGATAGTTTGAATAAACGAATAAACGGAGTTCCGAATAAAATGATTAATTCGATTAATTCGATTAAAACAAGTACAAGTAATTTGAATAATTCGAATAAAACGAATAGCGAATATTCGAATAAACGAATGACAACAATCGAATAATAACCGAATTCAAATAATAACCGAATAATAACAATTCGAATAACGAATGATAGCGATTCGAATAACGGATGATAACAATTCGAATAACGAATGATAACAATTCGAATAATAAAACGAATAAATGAATAGTTCTAATGAATAAATGAATAGCTCGAATAAACGATAATAACAATTCGAATAATAAAATGAATAAACGAATAGTTCTAATAAAATGAATAAATGAATGGTTCGAATAAACAATTCGAATAACAAACGAAGAGGAAGGATCATTAAGACAACCAAATCTGGAAGATGGTGAACCCCTTCTGGAAGTTGGCTGCAATAGTGGTTCAACAAGTAAGTCAAAATGGACTAGATATGGCTTTTTTATTTGATAATTAATATATGTATAAATTTTTTTATTTGATTATAAATTTAAGATTTTAAGATATTATGATTTATTGATAAAGTAATTCAAATAATTCGAATAGTTCGAATAAACAAATATAACGAATAAAC